GGGGGGGGGGGGGGGGGGGGGAGGGGGGGGGGGGGGGGGGGGGGGGGGGGGGGGGGGGGGGGGGGGGGGGAGGAGAGGGCGCGATGCCCACCGCAGCCGAATATGCTGCCGGGCCCATTGTAGGGTCGGGAGCGGGAGTGTGTGCGATTATAAAAAACGATAAGAGTGTGTTAGCGGCCGCGTACGGGCCCCTCACCTCCTGAAGTCGGTCTTGTCGGTGGCCAGAGCATAGGCCGCTTTCACCGTCTCCATGAAGCCCCGGCGACAGCCAGGTTCGCTCTTCTTCGGAGCCGCCATGATGACCTCACCGCAATGTGGGAATGAGAGGGAGGGAAACACTTCATGGATGCACCAAACCCTTAGGACCGGGGCTACAACTATAACTGTCCGCCCGGAGGAGGCACCGGGCACGAAGGTTTGTTCCGCGCATTATCAGAGCCCACAGAATTCTCCTGCAGAAAGTTAGTTTTCTCTCTGGATGCTTTTTAACTGCTGTGCTGATTTCTGACACTCCACGGTCATAGGCCATATTACTGTTCAATATTCTGCATCCTATGAAACTATGAAGGGGCCCAGGAAAAACACAACATAATTTGAAGCTGGATCTGAGAATTCTAATTAATCTCTGGTTAAGCTAAAAGCAGAAAGTGCTGAAGGTCTGGCAGCATCTGTGGAAAGAAAAGCAGAGTTAATGTTCCCTCCAACATGAGTTAGCCCTTTATCAAAAATTATTTTGGATTGCCATGAGCTGCAACAAAATTTGACAATGGATACAGGGTTTCAGCTGAATGACTATTTATTGATGGGAAACGCAGTGACAAATAAGACATTATGGTCTGACTTGTCTCGTAAGGTCATTTCCAGGGATTACTGTATTATTAAACTGGTTAATGGATTCTGCAAATAAATCTGGAAATGCATGGAATGCAGAGAAGGTGCTGACAAAAAAAGTTGTCCATGTGCAACTTTCAGTAGGCAAAGGCTGAGTTAGCACATTATTTCTCAATGAGATATGAAAGATGTTTCACATTTTCAAGATCTTGCTGTGGACCTTAATTGATGGGGAAGGTGTTGTGACTAGGGTCTTGGTTTACCTGGCAGCAGTGATCCCTAACAAGGACACAGAATTCTGGAGAAACTCAGCAAGTCTGGTAGCAACTGTGGAGAGAAAAACAGTTAATGTTTCGAGTCTGGTATTACTCTTCTTCAGAACTCTGCATTTGTTTCAGATTTCCAGCATTCACAGTGTTTTGCCTTTATAACCAGTGATCCCTATGCTTCTCTATCTTTGGAACTTTCGACAACTTACTAGGCACCATTAAACACCAGGAAAATACCATCAGCAGTGCCTTCAAAACACATTGACAAGAACTAACACCTGCAGCATCAAGTGCTCATTGCTTAGAACCTAGCTTTGCTGGACAGGCCATAATTCATTTGCCTGATACTGGACTCCTGAATCAATAACTCTATTCAGACCTCAGTTACTGCAGGAGACTCTCAGGAGGACGATGGAATTACTTTCAGAATGCCCTCAAAGCACCCCTGAAGAGATTGCTGGCTTATGACTGACCAAAATGGGGTAAGTTCATTCAGGAAGGCACAAACTTATCAAGAGACTGCATTGAGAAGATGCAGAGGCAAAGTTGAGGTGTCAACTTGTTTACAAAGTTCCCAAAAGTTTATTTACCCAAAGGCTCCAAACATTACCTGAGGAAAGGTCACCAGACCCAAAGCGTTAACTCTGATTTTCTCTTCACAGATGCTGCCAGACCTGCTGAGCTTTTCCAGCAACTTCTGTTTTTGTGGTTCCAAACATTACTTGCTCTGCATGCGATAGATTTTGTAGTTCAGGCTTTGATTGTCTTTCATCTTGAAGCCCATCAAACCAGAATGGAAGAAGGTCATTCTCACTCCCGAGGCAATGTCAAAGAGGAAGAAATAGAATACAGAACTTTAAATTTCTACCTGGCATATGATAAACTTTCAAATCCCAAGAGTCAGAAAAGTAACTTATACACTGCAGGTTTAACGTTAAATTCTAATTTACCCTCAGATTTTGGTTCCTTCCATAATTTCATAGAATCCCTACAATGTTGAAACAGGCCAATTGGCCCAACAAGTCCACACCGCCCCCTCCAAAGACCACCCCACCCAGACCCATCCCCTTTCCCTGTATTTACCATGGCTAATCCACCTAATTTACGTGCCACTGTTAACATGTTAGCATGGTGAATCTACCTAACCTGCGCATCTTTGGACTGTGGGAGGAAACTGGAGCACGCAGCAGAAACCCACTCAGACACAGGGAGAATGTGCAAACTCCACACAGCCAGTTGCCCGAGGGTGGAATCAAACTCAGGTCCCTGGCGCTGTGAGGCAGCAGTGCTAACCACCGAGCTGCCCTGCAATCAGGAGCCCATTCTCCATTGTGTTAGTCTGAGCAGTATGTGATGATGATGGATTCTGGAGTTATCACACTTCTAAACTCAAGCAAAAATGGGAGGGCATTCGAGGGAGTGCAGAAAAGATTCACAAGAATGGTTCCAGGAATGAGGAACATCAATTATGTAGATAGTTTGGAGAAGTTTGGGCTGTTTCATCAGAGAAAAGAAAGTAGAGAGGAGGTTCGATAGAGATATTTAAAATCTCGAGTAGATAGGAAAAAAAATTTCAATTGCTAGAAGGATCAAGCACCACTCAATTTAAGTTAATTTTGGCAAAACCAGTATAGGTGACATGAGGAAAATTATTTTCATGCTGTGAGTGGCTAGGATCTGGTATGCACTGCTGAGTAGTTCGGTGGAGGCAGAGTAAATCCAGCCATTCAGGCGGGAAATGTTTTATTATTGAAAAGGAAGCAAGTGAAGGGTTGGTGGAGGGGCAGAAGCGGGTAGGAGGTGGAGTTGGAGGTGGCATGAGGTAATTTGCTCTTACAGTGAGCTGGTGTGTTCATAACAGGCCAATTGGTCTCCACTGTGCCATGCCATAACAATTCTGAGACTTTTTTTAAATTAAAATTGTTAACAGGTGACACCCAAAGCTCAGCTACTGAGGAGCTTTCGTGAGAGCGCATGGAGCATAAGTGACATGTTGAACTGTTCAGTATTACAAAGGAGAAAAATAAGCAAAGAAATGAACAATGGTAATCTGAAATATGAGTAAAAATGCTGGAGAAACAAACTGGTCTGAGGGCTTGGAAAAACCAATTAAATCAATTTTTAAAACATGCAATTCCAGCATTTTCACAGTGTTACAAGGGTCAAGCTCCTTGGTTCCACCCATTTTTAAATACAGACTTTAAACCAGTTAAGTTAATAAACCAATTAGCATTTCAGGTCTGCCTGACATTTTATTTGAACGGTATTGATTCTTTTCAAAACTGATTGAGAATATTCACCTTGCAATAAAAGACCAGCAACCTTGAGGTTTTTCACCATCTGCCTCCCTCCCTCATTTCTTTCATGCCATTGGCTGTTCTGGAGCTGAGATAAACGGCAAATAAATTCATCCTATATCACTCAATACTTGTGCTGACCTCAGCCTAAGTGTCAGGAGGAATGTAATAGCTGCTTCCTGAGGATTCCCTTTCCTCGGTTTCCCTTCCTTTGCAGCACAGATCAGATTGCAAGAGGTGCAAAATGTGAGGATCTGTGTATGACATTCCTCTAGGGTTCTGCTTTACTGCAGTGAAACACAACCCCTTATTAAAGTTGGTGCTAAACTGAGAGCAGATGGAGTTTTGTTGCCTGTGAATATTTCAAAAGCAGAGTGATGACCATAAAATGTTGGGAATTGGTCAAGGTCGATCTCTCTTCGCCCAGCTAGGCAGGCAGATAACATTGTCTATATGAATTATTGAAGGTTACACTATCAGCCACAGCATTCCCAGACACCACATGAGTATTGTCAGAGGACATACCCTGATAATTTAGCTTTGAATTTCACTGCCATCTTCAGAATGTTTCAACTGGATTTAAGGAGAAAGATTGTTGTTTGTGGAAAACAATGGTGACCATTTTATTCTTGAAGTATTTGAGATGGAGGACTTTGCTCAGAAAATCCAATCTTCAGGGAAATATCAGACATATTTTCATTCAGATAATTTGTTTAAACTTGAACCAAATTGAGGAAGTCATTAACAAAGATACTTCAATTAAGTAACCTGTTTGGAGACATTATAACATCAGGAGTTAATGAAAAGGCTAATTCTATTTGAGTACATTTAATGAAAAGGAGGAAATACTATTACTTTATTTTATTTTTAGATCAATGAATTGTGTCAATGCTACACGGAAAGTGATAACATTTTCAAAAGATTCCAAAGTATTAGCTGTCATATTGGTAAGCATTAATTGTCCATATTTAGACTGGAATAAAAGCATAATAAAGAGTAATATCTACTACATATCCAGGACTGCTTTGAGGAACGGTTTGCCTTCAGTTTGGCAAGTAAGTGCTGGAATAAAAGAGTCATTGGGCTTTCCACAGATGCTGCCAGACCTGCTGAGCTTTATCTGCATTCTCTCTTTTTATTTCAGATCTCCAGCATCTGTAATATTTTGCCTTTATTTACATGAGTTTTGGATTTAGCCTTAAGAAATGTAATAGAACATCAATATCAGGCTGGGGCAGGGGAATCTTTCAGTAGCATCAACCACAACACAGCTAGGTTCCAGAGTATTGCTGAAAAAAGATTTTGTCAAAGTTTTCATTTCTCATAGAGTCTTTGATTTTTACAGTAGAGAAGGAGACTACTTGACCCATCCTAGACAACAAGGTGCAGGGCTGGATGAACACAGCAGGCCAAGCAGCATCATAGGAGCAGGGAGGCTGACGTTTCGGGCCTAGACCCTTCATCAGAAAAGGGGGAGGGGAAGGGGGTTCTGAAATAAATAGGGAGAGAGTGGGAGGCAGATAGAAGATGGATAGAGGAGAGGATAGGTGGAGAGGAAACAAACAGGTCGAAGAGGCGGGGATGGAGCCAGTAAAGGTGAGTGTAAGTGGGGAGTTAGGAAGAGGATAGGTCAGTCCAGGGAGGACGGACAGGTCAAGGGGGCGGGATGAGGTTGGTCGGTAGGAGATGAAGGTGCGGCTTGAGGTGGGAGGAGGGGATAGGTGGGAGGAAGAACAGGTTAGGGAGGCAGGGACGAGCTGGACTGGTTTTGGGATGCGGTAGGGGGAGGGGAGATTTTGAAACTTGTGAAATCCACATTGATACCATTGGGCTGCAGGGTTCCCAAGCGGAATATGAGTTGCTGTTCCTGCAACCTTCGGGTGGCATCGCTGTGGCACTGCAGGAGGCCCAGGATGGACATGTCGTCTGAGGAATGGGAGGGGGAGTTGAAATGGTTCGCGACTGGGAGGTGCAGTTGTTTATTGCGAACCAAGCGTAGGTGTTCTGCAAAGCGGTCCCCGAGCCTCCGCTTGGTTTCCCCGATGTAGAGGAAGCCACACCGGGTACAGCGGATGCAGTATACCACATTGGCAGATGTGCAGGTGAACATCTGCTTGATGTGGAAAGTCTTCTTGGGGCCTGGGATGGGGGTGAGGGAGGAGGTATGGGGGCAGGTGTAGCACTTCCTGCGGTTGCAGGGAAAAGTGCCGGGTGTGGTGGAGCTGGAGGGGAGTGTGGAGCGGACAAGGGAGTCACGGAGAGAGTTATCCCTCCGGAAAGCAGATAAGGGTGGGGAGGGAAAGATGTCTTTGGTGGTGGGGTCGGATTGCAGATGGCGGAAGTGTCGGAGGATGATGCGTTGGATCCGGAGGTTGGTGGGGTGGTACGTGAGGACGAGAGGGATTCTTTTTTGGTTCTTATTGCGTGGACGGGGTGTGAGGGATGAGGTGCGGGAGATGTGGGAGACACGGTTGAGGGCGTTCTCGACCACCGAGGGGGGGAAGTTACGGTCCTTGAAAAACGAGGACAACTGAGATGTACGGGAGTGGAATGCCTCATCCTGGGAGCAGATGCGGCGGAGGCGAAGGAATTGGGAATAGGGGATAGCATTTTTGCAGGAAGGTGGGTGGGAGGAGGAGTATTCTAGGTAGCTGTGGGAGTCGGTGGGCTTGAAATGAATATCGGTCCTGTCTGGACAGACTCCCAAAAGAGTGACCCAGCTAGTCCCACTCTCCAGCCCTATCTCTGTCACCCTCTAACACTTAATAAAAAACTGAAAGGACTGCGGATGCTGTAAATCAGGAACAATAGTCGTAGCCCCCTACCCCACACACTAGGCCTTGTTATCATATAGACTGCCATTACACACTACCTATTGTTAGTCTCTAACAGTCCCCATTAACAACTATTCACCCTCCTAACCAGATCATTATCCACTCCTTTGTCTATCCAACTGCTCTTCTCTCTCTCTTTGGGCTCTATCCTATCGTTTACTCCCTACCCCATCCCCATCCCCATCCCCATCCCCATCCCCATCCCTATTTTCTGCATACAAACCAACGTTTTCCCAGCTACCCAGTTCTGAGGAAGGGTCACCGGACCCAAAACGTTAACTCTGATTCTTTTCTTCACAGATGCTGCCAGACCTGCTGAGCTTTTCCAGCAACTTCTGTTTTTGTTCCCGATTTACAGCATCCGCAGTTCTTTCGGATTTTACTACATTAATACCTGGAATAGGTAGGTTGACTTATGAGAAAGGATTGTGCAGGGTAGGCTTATATCTACTGGAGTTCAGAAAAGTAAGGTGACTTGATTGAAGCAGATAAGCAGTTGAGAGATCTTGACAGGTTAGATGTGAGCAGGATGTTTCCTCTTGTGGGAGAATCTAGAACTAAGAGTTAATGTTTAAAAATCAGAGGTCACCCATTTAAAACAGAGATGAAGTGATATTATTTCTCAGAGATAGGTGCGTTTTTGGAATTATCTTCCTGGAAAAAGTGATCAATTCAGAGTCCTTGAATAGTTTTAAGGCAGAGGTAGATAGATTCTTGTTAAACAAAAGGGCGAAAGATTATCAGGGGCAGGCAAGCATTTGGATTTCAGGTTATAATCCTTTCAGTCATGATTTTATAGAATAATAGAACTGATTCAAGGGGTGAATGGCGTCTTCCTGTTCCTAATTCACATGTTAGTGTGAGTGTGAGACAAAAAGCTTTGAAATAATATGGTTTTTTTCTGCAATATTCAAGTTCTGCCCTACCAAATAACTTTTAAGTTCATTTAAAGTGCAAAAGAAAAGGGAACAATGATAACTTCTAAAATGCAAATTTCAATGAGGTAAAATACCAAGAGCATAGAAAATGGAGAAAGACAATATATAAGGGTGTTGGAAAGGCAAATGATGCTTACAGAGAAAGACCTGTGAAGAAAGGGAACATCAAGAGTTATTGTGTGAAGAGTTTTATAAACATTAAAAGTCAAAGAGTAGATTAAGGATAGATTAGAAATGAAGGAATGATTTATTTTGATTCAAAATGAAGATACAAAAGTGAGTGTTTTTCCTCAGTTTCTACTGATGCATGTAATGATGGGAATTAAAGAGGACAAGAGGAGGAGATGGTACATGTACAGTACATAAGTGATAAAATAGTTGATCTCTTTGGTACAGACAATGAGCTCTGATGGCATCGTGTAATCCTCAGGGAACTAAGTGAGGAAGTAGAAAAACCACTGATCAGATACTTTCAGATGTTCTGGAATTCAGAAATTGGATTGGAGAGCCAATGTACGAGAAGAGAAAAGGGTAGAAAAGGTAACTATGGACCAGCCAATCTAACAACAATAATGTTAAATTATTGGAAATAGTCTTTAATTGACATAATCTGCTTATTGATACTAACTATCAGCATCTGCAGGCTGTGCGGTGTAACTTACTGAGTGTGTAGCTTATGTTTCCAAATATTTGACTATTGATGATGCATCCCTGTTAGCTTCACCCTTCAGAGACAAAGGAGTTATATAAGAGGAACAAGGCTCTCCAAATCACCACAAGTATCCAGAAATTATGATAAACTGAGGTAATGAAAAAAATAGTTAAGTGCAATTGAACTGTCCTGTATAACTGAAGGATAACATTCCTACTTTTGTACTCGATTCTCCTTGTGATAAATCATAACATTCGATGAACTGAAGGTAGATGAGTGATGGTGAAATGGTTAATTTAACCCTTTATTTCCTCTTAGACCTGACGAGACTTAGGTTTCTTTCCAGAAACGTTTATTTATTCTTGCATGAATGGGAAGCATACACTTCAAAAATGGTGTGTAGCTCGAATCTTTATTGTATGAACAAAGGTTTTATACCATTTGTACATATAATAAGCTTCCAATCAACTATTCCTACAGGTGATAATTTCCAATCAAATGGTCAGTAATTTACTCATCCATATCTCTTCGCAAACATAGTCTACATTCTAAGTTAGTATACATGACGATATTATTCAATCATGTTCAAACTGATACATTTGACTATTATCCAATCTTATCCAAACTAATACACATTATCCAATCATATCACTTTATGTTCATATCTTCTAGCTATTAGTATGTACTTGTGATTACAGAAAATCTACACTATTATTCTCCTTTCAAATGTTAAACTGGCTAATCATTCTGTATTCTTTGCAGAATAATTTATTCATTGATAAGAATTTAATAAATGACAACAGCATATAATGTGTGTGTTGTGCAGGTTGCTCTTGTGCACAGTGTTAGTGTCCCCACATGCACTGGAGATCACAGTCATAGAGTCATAGAGATGTACAGCATGGAAACAGACCCGGTCCAACGCGTCCATGCCAACCAGATATCCTAAATTAATCGAGTCCCATTTGCCAGCATTTGCCCCATATCCCTCTAAACCCTTCCTGTTCATATATGCATCCAGATGCCTTTTAAATGTTGTAATTTACCAGCCTCCACTACTTCGTCTGGCAGTGCATTCCAGTCTCGCACCACCCTCTGTGTGAAAACATTGCCCCTTAGGTGTCTTTTAAATTTTTCGCCTCTCACCTTAAACCTATGCTCTTTAGATTTGGACTCCCCTATCCTGGGAAAAAGACCCTGGCAATTCACCCCATCCATGCCCGTCATGATTATGTAAACCTATGCATGGTCACCCCACATCCTCCGATGCTCCAGGGAAAATAACCCCAGCCTATTCAGCCACCCCCTGTAGCTCAAAGCCTCCAACCCCGGCAATAGCCTTGCAAATCTTTTCTGAACCCTTTCAAGTTTAGCAACGTGTGCCATTACATGTCTGAGCAGGTTGATTAAAACATCCAAACCTGGACTCCTGGCGCCACACTGCCCTTCTGGAATGTGCCGTTACAAAGAAACTCTGGGAGAGGATGCAGTGGTTTGTGTTGAGGATTGTCCCAATCAGCTCCATAATGCGGCACTCTGTGTCTGTGGTCTGTTCCCAGGATACACACCGAGATAAATATCAACTGCACCTGGAAGACTATCAATTCGGTGAAAGATGCTGTTTGGTGTGCTGGAAAATTGTTGGTCTTCCAGAGCAAAGAACTGACCTCGACTGAGTGTTGTAGACTGGCACATTTCAAGGCTGATGGACTCCCTAAAGCTTGGGGCAGCTGCTGCCAAGGTGCAGTGGGGAAAAACCACTGTCTGAGGTCTTCCTGCTGAAATTAAATGGGGTTCCATTCGGTTATTGGACTCTCCAAATCCCTTGAATACATGTACATAATATCTTCCATAATTAAGAAACTCCTTCGGGTTTGTTGCGACTATAGAGAAAGTCAAACTCCAATGTTTGTTGTTCTCCATATGCAAAGACTGTACAGAACCAAACTGCTTTAGTAACTATGTATGTACATGAAGATTTCTTCTGAATCAAGCATATTTTTGCAATTAAAACATATCCATAGTGTGTGAGGCTCCTGCTTCGAGAAGATATAAACAGCCAGCATTTTTTGAGTTCAGGGAATAGATACCAGTGAAGACCATCCAGCATCCGTAGTATTTTGCTTCTGAATTGGACAATATCTGATGTGTGCTGAATCAAAACCAAAAGAACTGCGGATACTGTAAATCAGGAACAAAAACAAAGTTGCTGGAAAAGCTCAGCAGGTCTGGCAGCATCTGTGAAGGAGAAAACAGAGTCAACGTTTTGGGTCCGGTGACCCTTCCTCAGAACTGGTTCGGACCCAACTTTAAACCAATTTACAAGCTTTATTCAGATTGCAAAATTAAGGCTTTTTTTTAATCATTGGACAGCTCCAAAAATGACTCTGAAAATCACTATCTTATGGCTGGACAATATTATTCTTGCTAGCTTAACATATGTAGAAATCATACATTGCATGTGTGTAACAGATCTTGTTGAATTTTGATCTTCAACAACCCAAGCAGTGAGACGACTTAGTTAATATTGAGATTCTGAAGAAAGGTCACTGGACCTGAAACATTAACTTTACTTTCTCTCCACTGATGCTGCCAGACCTGCTGAGTTTTTCCTGCTATTTCTAGTTTTGCTTCTGATTTCCAGCATCCACAGTTCTTTGGTTTTTATTTGCTTCGTTAATGTTGGTCCTTTCAGTCGCTGCTGCCCACTGGGTCTGTGCAGGCTTATTTGTTGTCGATAGGATAGATAACACTGAAACAGGCTGTTTGACTCAACCTGTCATGTCGGTATTTATGCTTCTCTTGAGCTTCTTTCAATGTTCCTCCACTTTAGATCTGTTATTGAGTCCTAATATGCTTGTCAAATTCCCCTTTAAATGCATCATGTTTGCCACTAAATCTTCTTCTCCATGCAGGATAGGACAGTGAAGTAATATGTTTCCTCCAATTTATGCTTGACATTCACAATGTGTTTTTATTTCCATGCTTCTCTCCTCTATTCGGCAGACAACCCAGTAAATTTTAAAATCCCTATCTGGGCTTTCAACTCTTTTAGAAAGGTCCAATATAAATTACTTTGTGGTTTTAAAAAATACATTTTTCAGCACTTTTCATTTCTGAAGAAGTCACACCATACTCGAAACAACTCTTTCTTTCTCCACAGTTGCTGCCAGACCTGCTGAGATTTTCCAGCACTTGGTGTTTGTTTCAGCTTCCCAATGTCTGCAGTGTAGTTTGCTTTCATCCCAATATAAAGTTACCAGTTTAATTTCATTAACTTGATGCAGAGAATGAAAAAATATTGTTAGGGTTAAATGAAGATTTAAGTCTTGAATGAAGACTTCGTGAAGGAAGTCCTAAGCTTTCTTCCAAAAATCGGTTCTTCCCCCAAATGTACTCTTATTCTTCAATTAGTTATTTTAATGTCATGAAATCTGATCTTTGGGAAGCATATCCATTTTCACTTCTAAGCTCACAGCCTTTTGTGACCATTAACTTCACCCTTCTTTGTGTGTGATATTTCTTTCATTTTCTAAACTTCTGCAATTAACAGCTATTAGCAAGATTGCGTTAGTTTACAAATACCAGATTCTTTTTCCAGCAAAGATGTGTAATTTCACAAAAAGCTCCATTTACCACACAGTTAGCAAATCTGCAACTCAAGTGAATCTCATTTCAAGCGACCATTTTCCTCACAACAAAAACAAAGTTGCTGGAAAAGCTCAGCAGGTCTGGCAGCATCTGTGAAGGAGAAAACAGAGTTAACGTTTTGGGCCCGGTGACCCTTCCTCATTTTCCTCATGTTGAAAATCAGTTAAGTAACTACCTTTTGCATTAATCAAGGGAAACATCAAGACAGAAATTTTAAGTAGCAGATAAAACCTTAGTTATGTCTCGTGGGCTATTTTCCCTGGAGATCAGCGGCCGAGGGGTGACCTTATAGAGGTTTATAAAATCATGAGCATGAATAGGGTGAATAGCCAAGCTCTTTTTCCCCGGAGTGGGGGAGTCCAAAACTAGAGGGCATTGGTTTATGGTGAGAAGGAAAAGATTTAAAAGGGATCTAAGGAGCAACTTTTTCACGCAGAGGGTGGTTTGTGTATGAAATGAGCTGCCAGAGGAAGCAGTGGAGGCTGGTACAATTACAAGATTTAAAAGGCATCTAGATGGGTATACAAATAGGCAGAGTTTAGAGGGATATGGGCCAAATGCTGGCAAATGGGGGCTAGGTTTATTTAGGATAGCTGGTCAGCATGGATGAGTTGGACTGAAGGGTCTGTTTCTGTGCTGTACAGCTCTATGACTCAATCTGAAAAATAGCCATTCAGGATTCAAAATGTTAACTCTGTTTCTCTGTGCGCAGATGCTGCCACACCTCAGCTGTGTTTCTCCAGTTTTCACGGCATTTGTTTCAGATTTCCAGCATCTGCAGTAATTTGTATTTATTTAAATATGACACTTTTGTCTCAGTGCTAATCCCTCAATACTGCCTTCTAGAGTCACACTGAATCGAGTACACAAGACCAAGGTTGGGATTTGAACACACAACCCTCTGACTCGCTGAACTATCAGTGAACTCTACAATAAAAACAGAAAATGCTGGAAAAAATTACCTGGTTTGATCCCATCTGGGGAGCAATAAACAGAGCTAATGTTTTAACTTTGGACTCTCCACAGATGTTGCTAGACCTTCCGCATTTCTCCAGTATTTTGTTTTCAATGCTAAATTTGCAGCATTTTACTTTTATATCAGTAATCTCCCTCAAGCTCACACAAAAATAATGGCCACATGGCTCTGTAAGGCCACGACATCAATAAAAGGAGGAAGAAAAACTCAAAGAAAAATGGTAATGCTTTTTACCCTGAACAAATTTGAAGTGCAGTGGTA